CGCGAACGAGTTGCGGACGGAGGAGGTGTGGATGTCTCGTTCCTCGTTCGGCGGGAGATTACCATGTTTCGAGCCGCGCCGCTTTTAGGGGGGAAAAGGGGACATGCTTCCTGTGGTTTTTTCTCTTAAGTTTCGCTGAATCCGATGGGATAGAAGCTTTCATTTTCGCGTAAAGTTGTACTGAAACTGTGTATTGTTGGAGAAAATATAATTATTTCAATATTGGAAAATAGGTATACCACGAATGAGACTTACTTATTTCTTCCATCCTTCAATGCTTTGGAAATCTTGCAGAAACCTGGTGGGGGCGGGCTATAGTACAGTTTCGATTTAAGAAGCTTGGACGCATCTGCAGGAGAGGATGGCTGGATTGCAAAATCTCATATCGCAATCAATTATATTTTCTCCAACAATACACAGTTTCAGTACAACTTTACGCGAAAATGAAAGCTTCTATCCCATCGGATTCAGCGAAACTTAAGAGAAAAAACCACAGGAAGCATGTCCCCTTTTCCCCCCTTCACCCCCATCCTTTGTATATGGAGAGTTTGAACGTTCCTAAATGTGAATTCTTCGACCTCTCGATGAACGACCCAGACAACACCACGTTGGGTCCACATTGGCTGCAAGTGGGAGAGAAAGGGGCCATATCGCAGTGAACAGTAACCCAAGTAGGCCCGACATCGGCGCAGGGGCAGCAGCCAGCATTTGCGCTTGCTCAAGACATCTATATCAGATATTAGAACGAAAAAGCTTTCCAATAACGAAGCGAGATGGCGCCTACCTAGCCACTATTTCAGTGGTATGAGGGAATACTCGTTTGAAGACCACAGTACTTTCCATGCTGTACTCGATCATTTCCCGCAGACAACGTAGGGCAGGGGTGTCAAACTCAAATCTGTTGGTGGGCCGCATTCCTTAACCTGCAGATGCCTGCGGCCCGCACCCGTACTACTAGTATTTTCACCGAAATTTGTGCTGACGAAATCCAAGAACAGACGGCGGGCCGGATCCGACCGGCGAGCCTTATGTTTCACCCTCCTGACGTAGGGAAAGACACTCGAATTCCTCAATACATTTGTGGAAACAGGTTAAGCAGTCCGAAGGATCGCTTCTCCTCAGGCACGCCGTTCGACCTTCAGGGAGGTTCGACCTTCAGATCCTGCAGGGCAGTTCCAAGCGCTGGATGATCCGCCTTGGATGGTGCGACTCGAACGATTTAGCGATGTGACATGCATTCTCTTCGTTTTGCCTGAGACATCCTCGCCGCCTCGCCACATCGACTTCTCAGTCCAATTTAACCGATTTTCGCGACATGGTCGCATGATCTTCGAGTCTGGTTCCTCGATCATTAAAAGAAAAAAAAGAAACTCCCATGGCCTCGAACCACGATCTACATCTGGACCATTAGCAATCAATTCACTCGATCTCGTTGGGTTCATGGGAGAATTCAATTGACGATGGTGATTTTATTTCTATAGAATTAATATCTAATTATGATGTCAGTTTTCTATTGCGATTTTTCAATTTAGAGGGAAATATGCAGCATAATGGAAAGGGGAAACCTGGACTTTCTGATGCTGAGATACAAAAGCAAAGATGCATTCACGGAATTCCCCAAATTTCCGGTATTTCTACAATATTGATGCACATGCCTCATAACGAGTACCCAAAAAGCTATAGTTCGTGAAGATTCTGACAGAGGCCACTCTAGGACACAAACTGACACTTTCTGCTGAAGCGCTGTACGGTTCTGCAAGGATGGCTTTAGGGCTCAATTGAACAAGTTGACGCCATTGACGCTTTCCGAAATGAAAAGTTCTCCTGTTGCCTTGCTTCCCCGTGCTTAGCTAATCTGCTTTGCGATTTTCCGCATCTTTCCGCGACGCACCGCCGCGAATCACCGTACTCATATGTAGGATAACTGTGAATTTCAGAATGATTTTCGTGTCTTCGCTGCATAAAGCACAAAAACGCGCCTTTCCACACTGAAACAGGTAAGCCCCATAATGAACTTGACAGTTTTTTCTTTGACGGTGGCGTCACAAATAACATTTGCATCACGGTCAACGCTGTTAACATTTTCGGGGGTGAAATCCTCCCATATCTGGGGACGGAAAGTCCGCTTTCCCCTTCAACCACTCACGTGTAGAGCGAAATTGGAACGAAATCTTTCCGCTTGAGTTCTACTGACGAAGAAACGTGCTGTTTTCCCGTCGGGAATGAGGAAATGAAACAATGAATGAATATTTGCATGCCACTTCCGACCTTGAACGAGAGCCCGTCTCCCGTTGATTTGTGGCTCACGGCATGAAATGCAAGACAGAATGCGCTTACTGGGTAAAAACGAGTTCCCGCTCGTTATTTCCTGCTCCCTCTTCTTCCATGGAGAATATTCCAGGCTCAATTTCCAAAGCAAAACTCTGGTCCCGTGAACGGGCGAGCAATGGATCGTCCTGAGAGTTTTGCCTAGGAGGCTTTGAGTTTTGAATCCAGGGACTTTAGAAACTGATTGGGGGGACTTTCCGTTTTTACTTTCGGGGAACGGAAATTGAAGCGGATCATGAAAATACAGGAAATATTAAATTCGAAGAAAAGGAGAAACCCAGATCTGGACCTCGGAATCTTCGTGACCCTTGGAAGAAAAGCTTCTCTAATGTGAAACTTAAGAATTTTCACCTATCATCATGAATTGCGTAAATGGGGGCTTACAAATACATATAATGGGCTTCTTTTCATTTCCATGCTAAAAGCAGTGACATAAACGTAATCAAGATTCAGGAGAGTTGGAGTTTTGACCTCAGTCGTACATGATCGCCTTTACACTATATTTTCGTACAAGACATGAGCAAGAAATCTATGAAGAGAAGGAATACCCAGGGTCCCGTACTATCCATTTCATCGCATGACGTTACTTCGAGTTATAAAAAAAAAAACAGCATCAAGTGGCTCTTTCTGCTTCTATTCCTGCCTCCTGAAGACATTGTGATTAGAATGCAGATTGGGATTAGGGGAACTTTCAGAAGATTTATTCTCACAGTCTCGTGCCGGCTGTCCATAGACGTTCCTTCCCCCGTCCTTTAGGTCATAACGACCATCAAGGTCAGAAATTGGACATTTGCTAAAATATTGATCGATGTCTCCTTTATTAAATCCCTGCAAGTCATGTGAAAAAAAACAATGGATTGATAGTAACTGTGAAGTCCTGCTCATGCTCCCAGGATTCCGTGTTAGTTGTTGAATAGAACAGTAGGTCATCTTGTTACTCTTGAAGAAGAGTACCTGTGTACTCTTCCGAGTACACTAGACCTCCAAGGTGTGGAGATGAATTGGAGATGCATGGTAAAATTAATTCCCTTTAAAGCTGGTAATATAGCTATGAACATTTGCATGAACGTCGAAGAAATTGACATCAATTGAAACCGTCTATTGAAAACTTAAAAGGAAAAATAAATATTGAATATAATATTGCATAAACGGCAGCCTTAAAAAAGGCACTTCGAAATAAACGAATTTTATGAAAAATTGTCATTAATTACAGTTTTCTTACGTATGCAAAGGGTGAACACCCAATCAATCTAACGCGTGAAATGCTTAACTACTTAAATTTGAGTCTTTGTATTTGTATTTTGATTCCCCTCAAAGTTCATGGTTTTCTATACTTGTGTTTTTTTTTCACTCTCTCTCCCCCTCTTTCCGCCCATTCATTAAGTCCATACCCATTTTTATGTTCACCCATTAACGCATACATATCGTTCTTATTTCCTTGTTTNCTTGTTTCCTTGTTTCTTGTTTCCTTGTTTCTTGTTTCCTTGTTTCTTATTTCCTTGTCTATTGTTTCGTTGTTTCTAATTCCCTTGTTTACTCCATATTCAATATCTCAAGGAACTGCCTTGCTCCTCCGTCCTCTCCCAGTTGCTCTTTCTCAGTTTTGACTCATCGATTATCCCTGTTTTTTCTTGTTTTTGATGTTTCTGTCCCATTTCCCCTTTTTGTTATCACCATTATTATCACTTGTTTATGTAGTGGGCTATATAGCAATAAAATTGTTTGAAAAAGAAAAAAACAAAAAAAAACATCAATTTTAGATAATATTCATATAAACATGCTGTTTCTGATGTAAATGGGAATAACAATTTTGTGTAAAATTCTCGGTAATTTTATATCACCGCTTGCGTCGTCCATTGTAAAGAGCAATGATGAGTGTCACCTTCATATTCACTTTCCTTCTGCTCATCTATCGCATTTGGCTTCTTCTTAAGAAGCTTCTTCTCCAGTTCGAAATGCATAATCCCACGTCTTGAATTGATTCCAGACACACAAATCTGGATCTGTCTGTGTGATAGTAAATTCGTGAAGGAAACTCCTAGAATACTGCGTGGATTTCACTTGACCCGAAGGCGAGCCTAACATTAATTACAACCAACGAAACCGAACCGGTCGATAACTGGAAGAAAGTCGAAATCGAACATAACTCAAGCTGAATGACAAACTGAACCGAATTCGAACCGTATCGGAATGAATCAGAAGAAAACCGTTCCTATCATTCGAGGATTTAAAAAATGCCAAGTAATTTCATTTAGTTTCACCAAAAATCAAATTGACCACTGTAACAAGGTAGTCCAAGAGGTTCTGGTTTGGACATCTAAAAGCATTTTATGGTGGCAAATATTAAATACTTTGGAGGCTGGTTGTTAAACTTTCATCAGAGCGTCCAATATGATATCCTCTCATCCTCCAAGAGGAAATGGGAGTGTCTTGGGATCGGTGCATCCCATGGGCCTTTGAAATACATGGCCGAGTGGGTTTCACTGGCAACAGTAAAAAATCTCGCAGACCAAATGATCCTTTCGTATATTTCCATGGAATAAAATTCTGCACATTATGCGTGACTCGGGCATTCGATTAGCAAGGAATCAGAAAAGCTTCCTCGGTCATCCATCGACATCAATCGCTGGATGCGCGAGACGCAATTGCATCGATGACGTATCCCTCGTGTTTCAATGCTTTCTCTCCTCTACGAGGAATTGGAAGGGTTTAGGAGGATTCACTGCGAAGCTTCCAACAGCCTCGGCTTTCGGATGAGGAAGTCCCGTCGTGGTGCGAAATGTGAATTTCTGCATGAATATGGCCATGAACAAAAAGAGTTCCATCAGAGCCAATGATTCGCCAATGCATTGGCGCTTCCCTGTTAATAAAGAGTCGGTTTAAATAATATATAACAAGTATGTCTTGCACCAAGGTCCACTGGGATAAGGTAACTGACCGAGTGAGAACTGAAGGAAGCTGGGGACTTTGGTCTTCACGGATCCATCAGGATTCAGGAATCTTTCCGGATCAAACTTTTCGGGATCGGGCCAGAACTTGGGATTCATGTGACACCACCAAACGTTTGCCATGAATGTCGTCCCCTGTGAAAGCAGTAGCCCATCGACGATAAATCATTTTTTGTCGTTTCTCCGTATTCATATTTTGAGGAAGAAATACCTTAGGGTATCGATATCCTGCGATTTCTACGTCTTCTGTGGCCACGTGAGGCACCCCAAAGGGGCCCAGATGCGATAGTCTAAGCACCTCCATGATGAAGGCTTGCGTGAATGGCATTCTGTGTGATTGGTAAATGCAAATGTAATTGAATAAAACTAATATGATATGAATGTCAAATTTGAATGAAAGAAACAAAAATTGACTCGGTAGAACAGAAAATTCATAACTTTTAAGAAACTTTCCTGCAACAAAAAAAAATTAAAGAGTTTATTTGTGCATACCTTTGCACAAATAAACTCTTTACCTTATCCTCTTTAAACTATGGTATACCCAAGATCAAAGTGAAACCTGTCTCGGTCATCGAGTGAAGGAAGTCTATCGGGCCCAACGACGTTGTCTACTTCAGCCTGGAGTTTCTCCTGAATTTCGGGGTGGCAGAGGAGAAACAGGACGCACCAACGGATGGAGCTCGCCGTCGTCTCGCTCCCGGCGATGAACATGTCAGCGATGTTCGTCTGTAATCCGAGTTCTGTTGGGATTCGCATTGATCGTGATCGTTTGGCGCTTCTCGTTTCCGATAATACTTGTGGATATACCTGAAAAATTGGGGTTGATTTCTCCTTGAGCCTTTTGTTTTGCCATTTCCATGAGATAGGCTTCGATGTAATCACTTGGTTCCCCGGACAATGGCAGGCTTTTCTTGTGTTCCTCCACCTCATCCTTGAGGGGGTAACATAGCATGAGGACATGAGCATTCATTTCAGTTAAAACTAAAAAAAGTATCTCTCCCTGGAATTTTCTTTTTGTTTCTTAGGCTTCCTGTCAAATGGAACACCCTGTAAACTCCAGCAACCATTAATTTAGTCGCCACAATATTAGTCCTGGTTTGCCTCGTTACATTTCGCTCATGTTATGATTGTGGTACGACGACATCCTTATAATAGTATAAGATACTCTAGGTCTAAAAGCCAACTTCTAAGTGATGAGCTTTAGGGGAATTGAGATCAGCCAGTTTCACTGGATACAACACTATAGGAAGCATATAGGTCGTTTGGGCAAGCTCTCACAATGTGGGAAATTTAAAAATGTATCTTATATTAAGAATACGCGTTTGGTCGCCAGTTGTCTGCAGCTTTTCGGAGAAAGCTTTGAGTTCGCTTGGACGACTGAAAATCGAGCGAAATTCGCGGGTGTCGATGGTCGATACACGAAAAGCAGACAAGCCAAGTCTTAATTTTTCCTCGAAGATTCGCCCTATACATAAATATAATGTGATGTAATGAATTCTGGATACCGAGAACACTTTCGTTATGACAGCCAGATTGCGGTGGATGCGTCTGTATGCCCTGAGCGCAGGCGGCCAAAAGAAGACCAAGAGGGGCGCCAAGTGGAAGTTCCCGAGGATGGAGGAATCAAAGAAGACCTCCTCGAGTCCGATCATCACGCCCTGCATCTTCGCGTCGTCTTGGGAGAATTGCCTGCCTGTGGACGATAGAACTAAATTAAATAAGTTTGTTGTAGATGACGTTATTTTCAATGATTGAAGATTGTTTTTTTTTCTAAGTAAATTATGGTGAAATCACGAAGACTTTTTGCGAACCCGCAATGATTTTCCAGATGATGTTGAGTATGGCGAGGTTAAGGTGGGGGCCGAGGTCTTGCGGCTCGTGCTGATTCCTCGAGAGGAATCGGCATAGAGTAATCGCGGAATCTTGGATCATGGAATCCAAGGCTTCCTTTTTCCCTAAGCCGAAATCCTTCAGAATCCGCATGGTAAAGCGCCGGTTTTCCAGCCATATGCTTCCCTGCGACAGCGCGATACCTGAAACGAAGAACATTCTCTATGCATAATTCCGATATATAATTTATAATGTATAAAGAATTCTCGATATGTATTGTTGTATGTTGTATATTGTATGTTGGGCGTATTACCGTAGTCGTCGCGATATCAACGATGACATTCTTTCTTCCTCTTATTGAAGACGATAAGGAAAGAAATTGAAAGGCATGTATTAGTGAGTCCTGAAGTTCTTTTCTCCGGCACTGAATGCAACAGCTAAAAGAATGTTTGGTCTATTCTGTTGGCACATCTATTTTTTTAAATAATATTGTTTCCTTGAATTCTGTAAATCTCCATCGGAATTCAACTGGAGTCGGTTATTTGATGGGTACGCGTCGATTCGCGGAAGCCACCGAATTCATGCGAGAAACAGGCACTATTCCCTGGCTTCCTCAAGCTTTACTCACAACGACTTCCAGAAATACAGAGAACAACTGAGACCCGGCGAATCCATTCGAAAAAAAACCCTCCTTCCCCCCTCCCCACGTACCCAGGCCGTGTGAAGCGGGTTCTCGTACGATGAAGATATTGGGTCGACCCGAGATCTCCAGTCGCCCGAAAAAGTCTCGCACGAGTTCCCAGTCGCTCAGGATCACGACATCATAGTTCAACAGGCTGATTGTGAAGATATCGCCGTGTTTCTTCCTCAGAGAGTTCATCTTCAGGTATTTGTACTCTCCCAGGAGGAAAGGGGCGTATCCCAATATCGGTAATCCCCATGGGCCTGGAAACAAGTCACAGCCATAGGTAACAATGAGTGGTCGTGGAGTTGTAATAGCAGTGAAATTCACGCTTGAACGATTTTTTTGCTTCCAGATTCGTATATATAGAAAAAATTAGTTACCCGGGGGAAGTTTGGACCAAATCAGGAACTTCTTCACAAATAAGTGAAGCAGATAGACGAGTAGAATAGAAGTGACGATTAAAGTAACACCCATCGCCATCAGTCACGACGCACGAAGCACTGAGCATGACATCGCAGCGAACAGCATCCAGTAGGATCTCGAATGCGCAATGGCCACCGACGAACGCGAGACGCGCGCAGCACTCAACGAAGATCGAGTGAGAGGGAGGCAACCGAGAGGGAGGACTCCGGAGAGGGAGGACTCCGGAAGAGTAGGACCGAAGAGACCTTCGCCATAATCTGAAAGAAAAGTATCCCTCGATCATCCATCGTCATCATTCGTCGGATCGGCGAGACGCAATAGAGAGGGAGGACTCCGGAGAGGGAGGACTCCGGAAGAGAGGACCGAAGAGACCTTCGCCATAATCTGAAAGAAAAGTATCCCTCGATCATCCATCGTCATCATTCGTCGGATCGGCGAGACGCAATAACCTTTGCTTTTTTATTACTTCTTGTTTCAATGCTTCCACCCCTTTACAAGGAATTGGAAGGGTTTGGGAGGATTCACACCGAACCTACCATAAGCCTTGGCTTTCTAATGAGTGCGTCCCGTCCTGCTATTATGATTTCCATTGGGAACCGTCGTGATATCAGATTAGTACCACCCCACCTCGCCCCGACTCAAAAATTTCCACATTTTATAGCTTTTTGTCGACACTTAGCCTTGCCATCGTAAAGCAGCTCTTCTATCCATGTTGACATCAATGCAGTGAGTGATGAATGCGGAAATTCCGAGACAATTTTCCGCATGGACCTGCAGACGATTTCCATCTCTCGATCTCCAAACAATATATTTAAAATATGCTGAAGATGTGGTTAGACCTGCAGACCTTGAATGTGGACGAGTATTTCCATGATATTTTTCTTGTTTGCGGGAACAAGAGAGTCCTGAGCTTCGCCTGAGGATTTTCCCGGATACGACAAAGGAATACCATGAAGCCCGACACGGGGGCAATAATTCTGGAAAATAATAACATCTCATGAAGAAATATGTAGATATCACTTCAAGGAGAATGAGTCTCATCTAATCACTAATTGAGTTGTAATAGACTCTGTGAGGAAGCTTATCACGACATTTCGATTTGAGAAGCGTGGACGTATCCGCAGGAGGGGATGGCTGGATTGCAAAATCTCATATCGCAATCAATTTATTTTTCCAAAGAAACTCAGCTCTGTACAACTTTACGCGAAAATGAAAGCACCTGTCCCGTGGGATTCAGCGAAACTTTCGAGGAAAAAAACAAAAGAAAGAATTTTCTTTCCCCCTCCTTTGCATATGGAAAGTTTGAACGTTCCTAAATGTGAATTCTTTAACTTGTCGATGAACGACCCTGATTGGACCCACGTTGGTTGATTGTGGGGGAAAAAGTGGCCCATATCGCAGTGAGCAGTGATCCACCTAGGCCCGACATCGGCGCAAGGGCAGCAGCCAGCATTTGCCCTTGCTCTGGGCAAGACATCTATATCAGATATTGGAACAAAAAAAACTTTCCAAAAACGGAGCGAGATGACGACTAAGTCACCTCAATTTCAGTGGTATCTGGGAATAATCCTTTGAAGACCATATTACTTTTCATGCAGTACTTGATCATTTCACGCGAAAAACGAGGAGCAGGGGTGTCAAACTCAAATCGGTTGGCGGGTCCGCATTCCTAACCCTGCAGATGCCTACGGGCAACACCCGTGCTTTTTTCACAGAAATTTGCGCTGATGAAATCCAAGAACAGACGACGAGCCGGATGAAACACCTCCACGGACCGTATGATTGCCCCCCCCCCCCCCCTTTGCCAGGGAAAGACACTCGAATTCCTCAATTCATTTGTGGAAACAGGTTAATAGGTCCGAAGGATCGCTTCTCCTCAGGCACGCGCTTCGACCTTCAGGGAGGTTCGACCTTCAGATCCTGCAGGGCAGTTCCAAGCGGTGGATAATTCGCCTTGGATGGTGCGACTCGAACAATTTAACGATTTGACATGCATTCTCTTCGTTTTGCCTGGGATGGTCTTCGAGTCTGGTTACCCAATGATTAAGGAAACAAAACTCGCATCGCCTCGAGCCTTGATCTACGTCTAGATCCTTAACAGTTAGACTGTACCTAATGCCCCAGAGGCAATCACGGCTTAAGTCCGTCTGTCAGTGCCACAGTTAACGATCGATTAGCTCGATCATCCTCGCGACTGAAATGTAAGGTAGACTCAAGCCTATAAAGGAAAAGAAGCGAGAGCATGGCTCGGAATGAGTCGTGATATCAGATTAGTACCACCCCACCTCGCCCCGACTCAAAAATTTCCACATTTTATAGCTTTTTGTCGACACTTAGCCTTGCCATCGTAAAGCAGCTCTTCTATCCATGTTGACATCAATGCTGTGAGTGATGAATGCGGAAATTCAGAGACAGTTTTCCGCATGGACCTGCAGACGATTTCCGTCTCTCGATCTGCAAAGAATATATTTAAAATATGCTGAAGATGTGGTTAGACCTGCAGACGTTGAATGTGGACGAGTATTTCCATGACGTTTTTTTGTTTTGTTTCCGGTAACAAGGGAGTCCTGAGCTTCGCCTGAGGATGTTCCCGGATACGACAAAGGAATACCATGAGGCCCGACACGTGTGCCTGGAAAATAATAACATCCCATGAAGAAATATGTAGATATCACTTCAAGGAGAATGAGTCTCATCGAATCACTAATTGAGTTGTAATAGACTCCCCAGCAAACATAGTGACGTTGTGGGAACGTTCCCCCAGAGTCAATACAGTGTCATCGACGTTGAAGGTCATAGGTCAACGTTGTGTGAATATTGTAGGCGTGTTATGACATTATGATATCATTTTAAATAGCATTTAAAAATAATTTGTATGGTATGTTTCATGGAATGTGCATCGCCAAATAGGGAAAAATATTTTTTTTTCGCCAAATGACAAAGAACCTATCCAGTGTTACTACCCCAGTAATACCAGATATTGGGTGAATGCTGGACCAACATTGGGCAATATGTCTACATGTATCTATATCTTGGCATTATTGCCAATACCGGCTAAATATTGCCATTGACTTCCCAATTTTGCCATTCCATCATCGATGCAATATCAGACTGTGATGCAATATCAGAATGTTCCAATGTGTCAAATTTCCAATGAGGAGTTAGTTTTGAGGAAATGCTGTAGTTCTCCTCTTGCCCACTAGATGGAGGTACGGGTATTGCTTTTCGCACAGTACACAAAAGTACACTTCCCTCTTTCCATGGAAACATCCCTCACAAGAGTGTTTATTACCTCACCATATGTTTTTCATTGCCTCATTATAGCAATCAATAAAATCGGACACTTATTCATTCATTATCCATATATTCGAGACAGAAACATGGAGCCCAGGCAATAAATAATCACATACTCCTTATGAGAATCCCTTGCATCCCTTTGCACAAATGCTTAAAAAGTGTTTCTTCAAACTCGATTATTTACATCGGCTCTATTCTCCATACTTGAGAGAAAGAATTATTTTTCCACTCCCAGCAAAAGAAAGGGCGGTTTCTGTAATCTACAGAGCAGAAAGGGGATAGCCGTTCCCTATGAAGTAGGGAACTGCTATCCCCCTGAAAGTACTAAGATTAGAACTTTCAAAATAATATTTAATCCATTGCCTTCATTATTGACCAATTATGAAATGCTACAAGGGAGGAATTGAGGGTTAAAATAAGTGAAATTGCAATGTTGGCTCAACGTTGAGCCAGTGCTGAACTTCAACGTTCATCTGAGTGTTCCGATAAGCGACATTGCAATAGTGACTTAATGTTAGCTGCAACGCCAACCAAACACTCGGAAGGTTCAAAATGAACGTTCATACAACGCTGATTGAATGTTAGTATGTTTGCTGGGTCTGTGAGGAAGCTTATCACGACATTTCGATTTGAGAAGCGTGGACGTATTCGCAGGAGGGGATGGCTGGATTGCAAAATCTCATATCGCAATCGATTTCATTTTTTCCAAAAACACTCAGTACAACTTTACGCGAAAATTAAAAGCACCTGTCCCGTGGGATGCAGCGAAACTTTCGAGAAAAAAAAACATATAAAGAATTTTCTTTCCCCCTCCTTTGCATATGAAAAGTTTGAACGTTCTTAAATGTAAAGTCTTCAACTTGTCGATGAACGACCCTGATTGGACCCACGTTGGTTGCTTGTGAGGGAAAAAGTGGCCCATATCGCAGTGAGCGGTGACCCACGTAGGCCCGACATCGGCGCAAGGGCAGCAGCCAGCATTTGCCCTTGCTCTGGGCAAGACATCTATATCAGATATTGGAACAAAAAAACTTTCCACAAAGGGAGCGAGTTGACGACTAACTCGCCTGTATTTCAGTGGTATCTGGGAATACTCCTTTGAAGACCATAGTACTTTTCATGCAGTACTTCATCATTTCATGCAGAAAACGAAGGGCAGGGGTGTCAACCTCAAATCGGTATGGGGCCTGCATTCCTAACCTTGCAGTTGCCTACGGGCAACACCCGTGCTTTTTTCACCGAAATTTGTGCTGATGAAACCCAAGAACAAAAGACCTCCAAAGGATGAAACACCTCCACGGACCGTATGATTGCCCCCACTTAGCCAGAGGAAAACACTCGAATTCCTCAATTCATTTGTGGAAACATGTTAATAGGTTCGAAGGATCGCTTCTCCTCGGGCACGTGCTGCGACCTTCAGGGAGGTTCGACCTTCAGATCCTGCAGGGCAGTTCCAAACGGTGGATAATTCGCATTGGATGGTGCGACTGGAACGATTTAGCGATTTGACATGCATTCTCTTCGTTTTGCCTGGGATGGTCTTCGAGTCTGGTTGCACAATGATTAAAGGAAACAAAACTCGCATCGCCTCGAGCCTTGATCTAGGTCTAGATCCTTAGCGATCAATTCACTCAATCTCGTTGGGTTCATGAGAGAGTTCAATTGACGAAGGTGATTTGACATCTATAGAATTTAATATCTTATGATCAGTTTTCTATTTCGAATTTTCAATTCAGAGGGAAATATGCAGTATAATGGAAATGGGAAACCCGGACATCAGGATGTCACCGCTCGCAGTCTGCTCTTCCTCGATTGGTTTTACGGCGTCCTCCATCGAAATTGGCATGGTTTCGTGCGGAGATGGCGGAGATTCCTTTCGCGTTGTCCGAAGCTTTATGTACGACCTCGTCGAATCAGAGCTGATCGAAGTGCGGCGAAGAAGGTTCGGGAATCACTTGGCTTTCGCGTCTCAGAAGTTGGCATCGAAAGTAAAAAATCTCGAACGTGGACGAGCGCTTTAAATTACGCTTCATCATCATTATTTACTTATCATGATTTCATCGTTACCGTTATTACATCAATTCGCGTAATCATCGTTGAATTTTCGTCTCATTGCTATCAAGGCAGATACCAAATAAACTATCACAGCCATGGCCTTACTCAATTCCAGTTACCAACGCACATCTGTCTACCTGAATGATTTAACCCTCATGAAACGTTTTTCCTTGACGCCAAAATTAAGCACTACATAGTAAAATCCAATCCTGTTTCATCAGTCAAATGGAATGACACTACAGATACCGATAATATTTTCGCCAGGGCAGCCGTTTTCCGATCCAGACGCCGATAGGCTCGCAGTGCTGGCGGCCAAAGGAATGTCAAGGTCATCCAATCGAAGAGTCGAAGGGGCTGAACGTCTAAGAATATTTCCTCGATTCGAAAGCATGATGTCCTGAATTTTGCATCGTCGTGAGACAATTGATTTCCTGTGAGCAAAAACCTTATATAGACATGAATAATATTTAATATTTGTATAGTCTAATTGACCTAATAAAGAAATTGCTGTAATTGTACTAATTAAATACTGAAACGAAGACCTACAACCATTTTCCAGATGATATTGGTGATTGCGAGATTGAGGCAGGGCCCAAGATGTAGAGGTTTGCGCTGATTCTCTTTGAGGAACCCGCAGAGGAGTAGGACGGCGTCTTGGATGATCAAATCCACGACTTCTCTCTTCCTGAAGGTGAAGTCCTTCAGGATCAGCATGGTGAGGCGGCGGTTCTCCTGCCACAGGGTGGCCTGCGCGGATAACGTTATGATGCCTGCAACGACAAGATTAATTGTTGATTTGGCCTGCCGTGTCTACGAGGCCGAAAGCGAAGTCTGTGAATGAACGTCTTTCATGAGCGAATTAGATCTTGCCGACCATTTACTACGCCCGGTAAAATGAAAAACGGGTTAATATACCTAAATGAGGCCCCTCAAGAGTCGCCTTCAATTTGACCTGCTCCTGAAATCGCGTGTGGGGTGGAATCATCACGAGATTTCTCTCGTGCCCGAGTCCAACGACGATTGAAACGCGACAAGACGGTTTTGCGTTCGACACGGAGACTTTTCTCGAATTCATCGATCGAGCAGTGGCAGTGAAGCTATTCCTCGAATCGTCTGCGAGCTGGTGACCAGTGTGACGAGCCGCCGCAACTGACCGATGTGAAACAGAAGAAAGATATTTGGGGTACGTACTTTTCCACCAAATAATGTGTTTCCAGATATTCGGCATGCGCTATCGCGCGTACAAAACGACTGAAAGCATGCGAGCGGCCTGAAAGGGTCCATCGCATAAGTAAGCTGGGGTTCATATCATATCCTAATGCTTTTCGGAAGCCTGAGTTGAGAGCTCGAGACCTCCATCGCCTTAGGTCCTTTCTCTAGGGTACAACGATCCAGACCGCTTTAGTTGTAGTGCTGTGGTCCTGTACAGCTCCATGACGAGCAGACGACAGAACACTGGTAAGGGTTGCCCGATATGTGTAGCCTGCTCAGGCAGATGATAAGTCACCCTTTCAAGAAGCTAATCATTGATTAGTTTCTTGAAAGGGTGACTTCCCACTAGAAAGGAATGAGTAAGCCATGAGCAAACGTTTTTGGACTCCAAGTGGTATTCATAGCAGACGCTTTCACAACTTCTCTCATGACATCTGGGCAATTTGGCGACGTCAGATGAGCAGCCAGGGATGGGTGCGTGCCTGCTTTCATTCCTGTTTTCCTCCTACCTGGCGATTCCATCTTCGCGGGAGAGCTCTCTTTCTTGTGATCTCCGTCTGGTGTGCTTGCTCCATCCTTCCAGTTTTTGTCCTTTGTGAATCTCGGTAATGTGAATCACTTCAGATTTAACATGAGACATTACCTTCACCAACGGGCTGATGTTTGTGCCTGTGCAGAATCGGAGAACTCATTCCCAAAAGGTCCACTCCAAGTCCAGAAACCATCGTCCATCCATCGAGTCCACGAATATGTTCTGCTTCCTTCCCTGCTAAGTCTCATACTTCTAGTGGCCTTAATTCAAGTGTCTCGCGTTGCTCAGGGAACGTGGCCGAGCGCCTCCAAGTGTTTCAGCTGAAGGACTGCAAGGCCTATTGTGGAACTCATTCCCATCCTGTTAGTGTCCAAGCACCCATACCCAGGTCTGTGATAGGTTTTTGTCGTGGCCGCATACACGATTGGCCTAATCTTGTCGCTTTTGTCTAACGGATCGCGTGGGCCAACCAAAGTGAGCAGAAAATATTAGCTTCGCCATCTGATCCAACCCGCTTTCATTTTTGAAGCCAAGGTGCCGGGTCAGGTGCCATCCTGACCACCAGCACCACATAATGAACTTTTTTTCATATTGGGGCACACTCGCAAGTTACTCTTGTTAATCGCCTCATCCATTGGGCGATACATCCTCGTGAGAGAATCCCCAAGGGTTTTTTAGAAATTTTTATCGAGGGATAGAGTTTAGCATTATTCCCAAGCGTTTTTGGTGCACACCAATTTTTTTGGTGTGCAAAAAAATTTGGTTCTAATTGCCTTCTGAAAGATTTGAACAGATGATGTAGTCTGAATTGATTTTATTTCAATTAGTTATTTAAAGATAATTTATAACCAATAACAGATAGGAAGTTAAAATATGTTATCCATGTCACCGAGAGCGACTTGTCGAGTTATACGGGTTTCCGGTCGACCCGAAGCTTCCAACCGTCCGAAAATGTCTCTCACGAGTTCCCAGTTCCTCAGAATCATGAGCTCCTTGTGAAAGACGCCGATCGTGAAGATGTCCCCATATGTCTTCCCAATTGCGTCCAGTTTATGTTAAAATTAGCGTAACAATCATCCTCATCACTCGCTCGGAACGGTGTCACTGATAGATGACCTTCCATGACATTCGAATCTAAGAGCCTCGGCTTTCCACGTGTCTCTTATAAACACAACATGCGCCCCAGTCAACGTGGGCAGGAGAAATGAAGAATGCTGCCGGGAAAGAGGCCGGGCGCGTGAATGCACATAAGTGCATGTGAACACTTGTGAAGGTGGACGAGTGGATGTCTCCCTGTGATGGGATGCGACTCGGTGGAGATCGTATTCCTTGGTCATGCCAAAGGGTACCTTGCAGTTTAAAGAAAGGGATTATTAATATTCTCATTCGGGTTGGTGGTGTGCCGAAGTGTCGGTGGTCCTCGACGTTGAGACAAACAACACTCAAACGTCTGGCTCTGAAATCATCATGGGGAGGTTGAAGTGGACTACTAGGGCATTGGTGGGAAGGGCGTAACAGGGCGTGTCGGGAGGCGAGGTCGGAGGTGCAGGTGACGGTATGCGCGATTCCAAGCCGGCTGTACAAAGGAAGAATCATGTGGTCTAGGTGGTGCATTTTTCAAATGTTACGCAATTTGACCATTGCATCAGGGTAGATGTAAAGATGATATTGTCGAATTTATCATCTCCACATACGGCTGGCCACATGCTGGACACATACGACTAAAAATCAATCACGATTGCGTGAACGTTGTTTCCCTCAACGTCGTCGGAAAATGTGCTTGTTTAAAAATCAATAACTTGGTAATGAGGCAAATCGAGGAGGAAGTTTTATACCACGCTGTAACTGGTGCCTTCTAGTATCAACAAGGAAGAAATGAAGAAAATCAAAGATGGGTTTTTTGAGAAAAAAATTTTCTTTTTCACCCATTTTTTGGAAATTGACAAAATTTGCAAATTCATATTAAATTAAACATTAATGATATGAATGCCAAATGACAACAAGAGATGCACGAATGTAAGTAGTTCATGAAAATATACTTGATTCGAGATGGGATACGAATTTAACTGGCAAAAAAATTCAGCAAAAACCAGCAAATTCAGCAGTTTCGTCACTTTTTAAAATTCTAAATTACGTATTTCTAAAATTATAATTTAGATTTTTCTCAAATGCTTCCACAAGACGTACATTCAAGTATGCGAGAAAAAATTCTCAGGTATCTATGCCTATGACTTTAGGAGATAGAGCAAATTGAATGTGGGAGAAAACAGGAATTTCACTAGTCGCCCATATATAGAGCCCTACACTTGTGAATTTTTTTCTCCGAAACTATTGCAGATATAGAGGTAAATAATATACCATTTTCCATCATTTGAAAGGGGGAATCACATATATTTTTTTGAAAAAAATCCAAGACTATGACCTGACAGGCCCTGCCTGATTTGAAATGGAATCACCCTCCTACCAAAGTGTAAATTTTGTGGATGCTTTTCTACAGGAGGCACTTTTTCGTTTTTTTTGACAGTGACATCTCGATTTTTGCTATTTTTTTCTTTTGACTGGATTTGGTTTCAGGATATCGATAGTTGAATGTCTGCCGGTATGAGCTAAATGTCAAATACTCTTCCTGTAAAATATATTTCTTTTCAATGACTCCCGTTAGAGCACATAGGGTGCAAAATATTTGGGGTGCAAAATTGCGCTCTATTTGTGGGCGCAATAGCTCATAACTCTGCGGTAAATGTTTCCAGATAGTTGCCAATTACCTTTGCAATCTTTTTTCTATCTTATAACGTGCAATTGGAAGCGGAAGATTCTTAAGGGTTCAACCCCGAATGATGTCATATTCCCGGACGTGACATGAATCACATTATTTTCCATTTAAAAGTTCCTAATTTTTCTGGACAAATTTGAAGTGCACAGCCTCCAACAGCTTCTCCTACTGCTGTGCAAATACTTTTTAGTGTAATGACTTAATGTTAACAGAAAATCATTTTAGTGATGTTTATGGGGATGACCCGTCGTACCTCGGACACTGACACAAGGTGCCCACCCTCCCCTACATATTGCGACAGCAGTCTCAGAGCTGAATGAGAGTTGAGTATGAGCTGAAAAGTTCTATCGGTAAATGTAGTGGCATGCCGACCGATGGACGCGTGGGCTCACATGGTGCGTGCAGAGGCCTTATACCGTAGCCTCATTTAAGTGGCGAATCAAAAAAAGCAATGATGATTGCTGCGTAAGGAAGGAGAGTCGTTCCATGCTAAGTTTATGATATGGCAGAATACCTTGCTTCACGGGTAGTATTTCACGACTATGCCAGATATTGTATTTCCATCTTCTTCGTTGCAAATTACTGAAGAAGAATCGGACCGTGTTTTTGCCTGGAAATTTTTATTTTTATTAAATGCACTTTTCAAGGGATAGGAATAAATATATAATATCGCACAAATGTCAAATTTATGAATTTTTTAATGGATTTAATTCACCTCATATAGGAATCATGGAAAATCAAGACAAAGCACAGCTCTCAATTACTTCTCCTCCAAGGATCGTCTCTCCCGTACGAAGGCGCTAGGACGTGAAACTCAGCACAAATACTCGCAAAACTCTGGTTTTTGAAGCCGTCTAGAGTCGCCTCAGGGAGGAACTCCGTTGCATACCTTACATGAAAAGTTCATTCGAATGACGAATTTGATTTTAATCGAAGTACAAACGCTTAAAACCCTTAAACCATCTTGTAAGAGCGCGTCGAAGAAGGGGTGGATGAGCCTGCGAACCGTAAACTTCAAGGGTAACAGGAATCACTCAAACCAAATCCGAATTCAATGTGCATTCCAATATGATTTGCAAACGTTGTGCAGGATGTTGATGTTAATTTCAACGATCAACTCACTTCGAACTCCTCAGTCAATTAGAATCACACTCTAGGGATTTGAAGCGTCAAATTCCAATGATATCCATACTAATTCCAATCGAGGGTTTTGACATTCAATTTCCAGATCAACTTCATATTAGGTTTTCTGAACGTTCATGGTGTCTTTTAAAAATTTGGAATGTCGCTTAAGAAGATATGTATAATTATATATATATATATATTTTTTTTCATAATATAATTTGACGTTTTCTCTGGTATATTCTTCCCGTTCCGTTCGACGGAGGTTGTACAAATGTACAATGTACAAATAAACAATGTAAAAAACAGTATGCCGTCGACGGAAATGTTCTGCCAAAAAGATATGCAAATCGTTCAAGGAAGGTAGTTCCTGAATTTACAAGAGGAAACTATTTGTCATATCGTGCAACAGTGAATGAGGGGGGAGGGGAGAAGGCAGGGGATAAAAGTACTTGCATTTAAATCCGTCTTTAATTCATCCACAGAAATTACAAATGGGTGGAGGTTGCTACCTCGTTCGTTACTCCATCGTCTTCAGAAATTGATTTCATTTCATCATCCTCCTTGACTTGATCTTCCCGATAGGGATGGAGGAAGAATCGAGAGTTTCCCCGGATTTCTTCGCATATGCCTGCAATCCACAAATCCTCATTGTCATCTGGAAAATGAGGTAAGGTATATCAAGGCTGCGACTCACCCGTGCAGCAGCGAGACGAAGCCGCTTTGCCGCTCCTGGTCCCGTCTGGCCTACCAGATCAGAGAAGAAGCCATTCTCGTTCTGCAGCAGCTCGTGCGGTTGCCCTAATTCCTACGGGACGGATTGCTTCATCAATAGACACCTATCTGTGCGCGACATGTCTTCTATCGGTCTGAATCGGCTGTTCGAGGTGCACTCACCTTAATTTCTCCGTGGTCAAGGACGAGAACTTTATCGCTGTCGATGATCGTATCCAAACGATGTGCAATCGTCAACACAGTGCAGTCACTGAAACTCCTTCTAAGTGTGTCTTGGATGAGGGCATCTGTCCTGCATGAGGAACTCGAAAGTAACTCGTTACCATTCGGACGCTCTATTCAGAAGGGACGATTAGTCTCACTCTGGATCGACGTTGGCTGTGGCTTCATCGAGAATGAGGATTTTGTTTTGGCGAAGGAGGGCCCTGGCCAGGCAGACGAGCTGCCGCTGACCGACGGAGAAATTGCTTCCTCCTTCGGAGAGCTTTGTATCCAGTTTTTCCTTCATTTCACTGACTGGTTGCTTCAGCTGAACCTGATAAATGAGAGGGAATGACGACTCACTTGGACCGACTCCGTTTTTCAGACATAAGAGAAAATCAAGTCGGGACTCACTTGTTCCAAGACTTTCCACAAAGCCTCGTCCGAATGCTCATCAAATGGGTCGAGGTTCCGTCGCATCGTTCCCTACGAAATCAAGCGAATGGAGATATGAAACACCGGCAGGAAGTGGAGAGCAGATAATAGAAAATTAAATCAATGCATGAAGTGAGAACCTGGAAGAGGACTGGATCCTGTGGAATGATGGCGATTCCTCGTCGGACTTCATGGAGACCGTAAGCCTTGGTTTCTCTTCCGTCCAAGAGGATTCTACCCTCGGGCTCCGTCAGACGGAATAGGACGGTAATTAATGATGACTTCCCTGCTCCAGTTCTCCCCACTATTCCCACCTGGAAACGAGGTGCAAGGGGAAAGGAGTATCTCGTTCGTCTTCGTCAAGCAGGAGGATCGACGATTTCTTAAGCTTGAGTTCCACACCTTTTCCTTTGCCGCTATCGTAAATGTAAGATCCTTGAGCACCGGCGATGAGTCAGGGGCATATCGTAGGGATACGTGCTCGAATTTCACATGCCCTTCTGATGGCCAGCCTAAAGGTGGCTTCTTGTCTGCAACAAGGGATATGCGAAATTCAAACCTTCTTCCTAAGTGAGACTTGGGGAGGTAGGGGGGGAGGCGGGGGAGTGGGGGGGGGGCCGGAATATTGTGTGAATCCTTTAACCAGGGGGAGATTCGAGGGCCGCCTCTTCTTTCAAACGGGAATATTCCATGATTCTTTCCACAGACACCATCTGATTTTCCAATTCTGCACTCTGTCGTACACCCAATTGGAATATCCCAGCCAGCATAATTGCCGAGGATATCGCAAGCCCGACATCCCCACCCAGTGCCTCTGTTTGGTTCCAAAACCTCCGTCATTATTTTATTGTCTAGTCGCATGCAGAATATCTTCGAGAACTTCTTAATAGTACCTCGACCGATTCCCATGAAACTGTAGGTGATAGCAGCTAGATAGGCGACAATCAGCCAGTCCAACCAAATCCCGAACCATCGGGTGCCAGATAGGAAAACGAACCACGTAGAAGTGTGAAGATCCTGTGAAATTGAGTAAATGAAATATTTAAAGTATTTTCTCTCCATCCAAGTTCGAAGGCAAAAGACTGATTTCATGTCTCACTTGATGATTGTCAAACCCCTTTATGAAGATATCCTCGTCATGCGAGGCTCTGATGGTCGCCAGCCCGTTCAAGGAAGCACTCAGATGAGAAAAGACCGGACTTCGTGCTGTGATTGCAAGTTTGAGAGGAGACTTTCAAGAAAGAAGGTTCATTATGTTTTTAATTAAAATCTTTTTTCTAATTTCCATTTCTTATCAAAGTCTTGAAGACTGATGAAGTCAGGCTGTCCTGAAGAAGCTCGTAAAACAGATCGGTTGGAGCATTCGACAGAGATATCAGTATAAATTCAACGTACTGATGGATTCGAGGCGCTTCAGATCTCTGGCCGTATTCAGATAGAAGTGACGTAGACAACTGAAGGCTACCATGATAACGATCGTGCAAATGATGACGTAGTAATTGACAATGCAGAGCAGGACGGAGACGCCCAGTATGTGGAACGCCACCTACGACGAATCAAGACCATTCTCAGGTATAATGAAAATCGCACGAACCATTAAAATATGGCGACAGTTGTGCAAGACATGCAAACAAATGATGGGAAAGAAACATGTCAGTATAGAAGCGAAAACCGGCTGATTTATGGGATTTTTTGAGCCTTTCGTACTGACTGCAAACCGCTCGACGTCTTGTGTCGGGTGGAAAACTTCAGAACGAATTTGACAGAAGAGTAGAATAGATTATCCGTGAAAAAAAATTCAGTGCCAAGATAGATATTTCCAACTCGATGAAAATGGGTTTTTGCAGTGAGACAACAGTCTAGTGACATGGAACTCACTCTTGAATTTCTCAAGTCTGAAACGTTCAGCAAATCTGTGCTTGCAATAAACACATAGATAATGAAATGAAACGAAGCCACACTGTTTCAAGAGTTGAGCGAGATTGAAATATGAGAGGTTTGCTTAGTTAGCAATGACGTTTGGAGGCCATCAGGGTAATTATAGTTCATCCGGGCCGACCTGCTACACTTTTAATCCTCAAAGAGTCAATAAATGTCATCTACCTTTCTCTCCATTGAGGGGAAAGGGTGACTTCCCTCTGACTTTCAGTTAGCTGGTATCACTTACGAATGGCTTTTACAAATCCTAAGGAGATGCGAGTGTCACGGACACTGCTCCACTGACAGTCTCTGAGCCCATTCCCGACGCTTCGACGAGCGGGTGGCAGCACAAGATCATGAGCTACCATAAAACAGGCCATGTAGCGAATTTGGAGCGAATAGACCATTCAAGCGGCATAGTGCAGATAATGCAATACCGGTACACGATGAATCCGATAATCTTACTCCGAGACTGTCGCAAGCTGTAGGAGGCAGCATGTCGTCTGATGCTCCGACGTCGTTGCTGAATCTGTTCAGGATCCGGCCTGCAACATGGAGCGTGAGTGATTCTCTTGCGATCTCGCAAATCCATTTGATTCATTTATTAGACACGAACGGCAATTGCGATCGCCTCTTGGAAGAAAGAACGTGATGTTGGCACTCACCAACTGGATTGTTATCGAAGAAGGCGACTGGGGCTCGGAGTACAGATTTGAACATGCAAGAATGAAGGTTGATGGATGAATTCATGCAGATATAGAAGAACAACACCGTTCTGAAAATGGACAGCAAAAACAAGGCTACTACGATCGCCACGTAGATGTACATCGGTGTCCACGGATCCAGTAGTGGATTCCCAAAGAGTAATTCCACAGCAGAACTATTGGTCCGGTTCGCCGCCTCTTGCTGCGCATTCGTCCTGGAAGCAGAAGCAAAAACAGATGACACAGTCCTGTCCTTCCGGACTACCAAGGACAAATATTGATAGGGAGCACGAACCAGTACGAGAGCCACCAATCAGAGCCCGAGAATGCACACTGAGTGAGAATGTAACTGACGATGAGGAGCAAGCGAAGGAACCATCCAGCTCCTGCTTTAAGATAATCCCAGTATATCCTTGCTGATAAACTCCCACGAGATCTAGTTTCTTCTGCTAGTGTCGGTGCAGAAGCTTTGTCTCCAAGCTGTGAAAGAAGCCACGAATTCACATCACGGACTCTCGAAATATCGAAATGGCGCAAATAGGAAAACCTTTACTTTCGTTGTAGATCCCTCGTTCGTGTAAGACTGAACATCCAGACTTGGCAAGCTTTCATTAGAACAGGTTCTATTTATCCTCGTCGATGACAGCTCTTCCTCGAGATGCTGAGAAGTCTCATGTTTGGCCATCAATTTCGTGAAATCCACTCCCGACTTCAGCAGTTCGTTGTACGTGCCGCTCGTCGCCACTTTCCCCTGCGTGAATGGAACATATTTCAATAACTATAATAAACCTATAATTGTGTAGATGAGGGTGAAGTTACATGTGATAAGACGATGATGACGTCAGCCGTTTGGAGGAACTGAAGCTGATGAGTTACCAATATCCTCGGCTTGTCTTTCAAGTATCCCATTATGCATTTGTTGAATAGGTGTCGTCCTACATGAGCGTCTACCGCTGACAGTGGGTCGTCCAACAGGTAAATGTCTGCTTCTTGGTACAACGCTCTATCCGCACAAAACCCGTCAGAACTCAGTACCATTTCTTTTAAAAGATATTTCGTTGATGTCTTGAATGCGACAAGAACGAGGAAGAAGAATCATGCATCCAGACCTGGCAAGCGAAATTCGGGCTTTCTGTCCACCGGAGAGAGTGATTCCACGGTCCCCAACGAGACTCCGCTCTCGATGGGGGAAATGATCGAGGTCCTTGTGAAGTGCGCAGGCGTGTACGACTCGGCTAAAGAGTGCTCCATCGTACGATTTCCCCAATGTGATATTTTCACGAATGGATCCAGCGAAGACCCAGGGCTCTTGTCCTGTGTATGCCAGTCTTCCCCTCACCTGCAATTCACCGGTTTCCAGTGGTAACTCCCCCAAGATCGCCTGCACCATGGAACTCTGAGAAAAAACTGAATTCAGCATATCACGATCGGAAAAGGGTCTCCTGGAAAAATTTCGAAATGTGGCCTATACCTTTCCGCTGCCAACGGGACCTATGACTGCAACGAGTTGGCCAGGTTTCACAGATACCGAGACGCCATCGAGAACGATGCTTTCTCGACCTTTCGTCCATGAGGCTATTGCATTCTTCATCTCGATTCCCGGATTTCCATTCTTGGACAAGGGTTTTGTGGATTTTCTTTGATCAGCATCACCAAGGACACCAGGACTGGATACCATGTAATGGTTTGGCTTCCTCAGTTCCTCATGGAGGAGGAATTCCTGTATCGGGAAATGAACTTCATTTTTCCATTTATTCCTTTGGTTTTCTCAATACCTTCTAAAAGGGTCCGGACTAATCTTGACCTGCAGTCGTTTGATCGAGATGACAGTTTCTGCTGCTTGAGCAACCCCAAAAGGGAAGTAATAGGTCATGGTCATTCGTATGTTGTTATACACGGCCACTGCCAGGAACACCTAAGGAGAGCAGAGTTATTGTATTAATTTCTTATCTTTAACATGTCTCATTGACCCTCACGCGATTCTGCGTAAATTTTGAGCGCTGCCTCGGAAGATAGATGGCAGAGAAAGATAGTGACGTATAATCATAGAAGTCCGCAGAGACGATGTTTAGATTAGGTACTGTCATATCTTTTGTCAGCTTTTTAGAGGTGTGGTTCTCATCCCTTTTCTCGGTGATCAAGAAGTCGCTGTGCAGTAGAGTTCATGATAAGATGTAGGAAACCTCATTGTACGAGGGTAGATGGGATTTCAAGACAATACTGTGACCCGAACTAGTGGCGCAATGTTTAGAGTTTTAGAGAATCTTTGGGCAACTTTAATGGGACAAAAAGGACTTCATTTAATATTTAGTGTAGGCACCCTTGGATTTCAACACTGCAGCTACTCTTTTAGGCATCAATTTGATCGGATCATCACAATCTTCCTTAGGAATTTTGGGCCATTCGTTTTCTACTAGTTACAAAGGTTTCAATTTTGGAACCATTGAGTTCCATTATTCCTCAAATATTAAGATTATTTGGAATGATAACAGCCATATCAACACAATGCAACCTTACTAATACTTGTTGATTATACAACATTTTCGTGTCTGTATTAATCTGGGAAATTCAAAGCCTAGGACCTTTGATGTATTTGGTGATATCGAAAGAGAGCTTTTTTCAGAAAAGATTTTCCTATATATTTGCTTGATTTTTGCTGGATTTTCGCAAGTCATGGAAAGTAGTACAGAAGTGTCGAGGAAGATACAATTTTAAAATAAATAATTGATTGCTAGCAGTGCTAATGAGTTCCATGACTTTATATTGTACTTTCGACTCAATCGAACTCGAATACAACGAAGTCCATTCAAGGTCCCACTAACGAAATTAACAACGTTGACGTCCCTAGTTCTTCATTCGTAATTTTGGAAAAGCGAAATAGGGAAGCCCTCACGAGTGACAAGAAAGTGTGCTGAGTTCGTTTAATGGAAAATGGGAGAAGCTGACGTCGCACGTGAACTCCTGGACCTGGACCTGGTTCACGATTTGGGAAAATCGTGAGAGCTTCATCTGTGGTTACGAGAACATGCCACAAAAAACTGTATGACCGATGTAACTAGAGATATAGTATCCATTTCAAAAACAGGGAAACAGAATCTCAATAAAGGAAACCGCTGTTCTAACGACGATTTTTTCTTGGTCCCTTCAATGACGTTATAATCGAGATCGACTGGGTTTATATTTCAGCTTAAAGTGCTAAGGGAACATGAAAATCGACTCCCAAAATTAAATTTCGCTTCATAATTGTTGCAGGGGATCTCTCTTAGCTAGCTTAATATTAATTTTCATGAGAATCCGTCCACTATCCTAGAAGCCTATAGATTTTTCCTGCGACCTTTTGACAATTTAGGTCATTCCTCCATTCCGGGTCAATTTTCTCACCGGCGAAGAATGCAGGATTTCTTGTGCCTATTCCATAGAGGGATGTTTCACGGATCCAATGACACCAAGATTGCTTACTATCTCCAAAGGCATAGAGAATGCGAGGCTTTAATTATCGATTTGCATGAAAACTTGAATGCTCGCCCGCAGCTCTTCCCTCTTTGACCTCCCTCCCGCCTCGCACAGACTTGTGCGTGCCCGTGATTGTGTGTCTGTGTGAGTGAAAAGGGGGGAAGAGGACCGACGCGACTTCAACTGGCGTCTATCGCTATTGATTTTTTTTTCTTGCACCTATGACGCCTCTTTTCTTTTCATCAAATGCTCCGCTTTCGCTTCCCCCTCCTGAGGGTCCTCTTGGCACGTCGCCGCTCACCCCCAGCTTGTCTACACTCTCCTGAAGGCATTCTTTATGAAAACATGGATGCGGATAAATGTCTTTCCGGCACGGTTGTTAATTTTGGGGGCATTAAAATAGAGACAGGAAGCAAATATTCACACGCTTGAGGTTAATGAATCAGGGTCATAAAACTTTATAAGGAATCCAAATTATCCTACCCAGCGAGGGAAGAGCCCCAGGGATCAAAAAACATACAAATTAATTGACAGAGGGGCTTCCAATATGTCCTTCCCTCATTCTCTCCCAAGGGACGAAGGCACTTTTAAGATCTTTTGCATCTCCGAGACTTGGAAATAGGACCTAATCGGGATAAAGAAATTAGTTCAACCCTTTGGACCGAGTATCCCCAGAACGAGGATTCCCGGCCGTTCCTAGGCTTTCTTTCTGCCTCTCATCCTTCCAAGTCCCGCTACTCATTACCACTCCGTAACAATATATTTGCTTGAGTAAAACGGAGAGACATGGAAAGCTGAAACTTGGCAAGAACGTGACTGCTGACGCACTGAGCTCAGGAAAAATGTCAAATTTCCAAAATATTGGAATTTTTGGATATGGATTTGATATTTCATGGTGACGTTACGCTTTCAAATAATTTTTCATATCCTAGCGAATCGTAGCCGTGAACACCCTCGTGAATAAGAGGGAGGGGGATGCGCATGACATACAATGTCGGTGGCTGCTTCGCACTGCGTTAATGGGGCCCGCTGACTGAACTTGTGAATATCCGAATACGCTACACGCTTAGTCGAAGTCAACCCAGAATTCGTGGATGTCTTCCACAGGTTGGGTCTCCGTCTCGCTCTCGAGCGAGCAGTTTCTTTCGAGTCTTCGCAACTGTTGGATTCGTTCTCGAGAACGGGAGAGAGAGAGCGGCTGCCGCGTTGAATGTTAAAAAAAAAATCCTGCATTCTTTGCCAGTGAAAAGAGAAAATTGACCCGGAATGGAGGATTGACCTAAATTGTCAAAAGAGGCCGCAGGAAAAATCGATAGGCTTCTAAGATAGGGGACGGATTCTCATGAAAATTTATATTAAGCTAGCTAAGAGACTGTCAAAGAGATCTAGACAGGAAATTTTGAAAATCGGTCTCGTTTTCGATTACTGTCCGTCAACGTCACGTCCCTTCCAAGAAAGTGAGTTTTTCAGGCGGATTATCGAACACTGAGGGGAACGGAAGGAGGAAACCATGCGCATCTCCGCAAAAAGGTGGACCATATTAGCCTCCAAAAACAGGAGAATGCTTTACCCGATATAAAATTTCTAGGAGGAATGAGAGCGAAAAAAAAACAGAATCCGAAAACAGAAAAATTCTCAGTTATGGCGTCATGGCGTCTCGGGAAGGACAGTTGCATGCGTGTATTTTATTTTTTTCCATTTAGCGCTGTATGTCTCAAGGAGAATGGTGCAAGTTTGCCGTTTCTGCGACCAAGGGTTGGGGAGATGGATATTTTTGAAGAGAAGGATGCAAATTTTGACCTTTGTCCACAGATTCTGGCCCGGGGGTGACCTAAGAGAGCCAGCAATCGGCTCCGAGGCCCTTTCACGAGGTCCTCTGCAACAATTACGAAGCGAAATTTAATCTTCGGGGTCGATTTTCATGTTCCCGAATTATCTTAATTTAACTTTGAAGGAGTTTATTAAAAACGTCTGTGCCATATAGAATCAGGACAACTAAATAGAAAATTTCATCCCATGCTTGAAGCATACTTAATTTAGGCTCATCGTGCAATGAATTTTCCACCTTGCATAACAATTTTAAATGGGAGCACTTTGTGATGACACGGGGAGAAACTTCGCCGATTAAAAATGACCCATTGGAAAACCTGAGATATTTGAAGACAGAAGAAAAAAGCCGAAAATCATGATCCATTTGGAAAGAAGCGTTGTAGGTATGCGTTCCTTTGGTACTGAAGTACATATTTCATCAAAACTTTCCTGTAATAATGAGTTCTCGACTTAACATGGGATTTATCTGACAATTTCGGGTAAAATACCTTTGCAGCAGTGAGTTCATTGCCGAGTATCACATAGACGAAAAGATTGACGAGGAGAATGATTTTGGACGAGCAAGAGAAAAGGCCTATGTTAATGCCCCGGAGATAAGACATCCTTCTGATCACATGTATCTCGTTCCTGGCAGGGGAAGCAATCAAACTTTTCCATCGAGAGTAGCAATTGTTGTGACAGCAATTGTAGTAACAGCAGTTGTAGTAGCAGCGATTTAGGGAAAGAGAACTTAACAGACTCTCGAGCAAAGTCGACCATTTTGGCGAAAGGCTTTTCCCACGCGTACATCTTGATTACTCTTATGGCATGCAACATTTCGTTCATGAGTCGAACCCTTTCGTCCGTTTTCTTGGCAGTCGTCGAGCGGAGACGGGAAAACCATCGCCCCATCTGACCTGTAAAAATACGAATCCGCATTCGAAATGTTTACTCTCCCGATCGCATCAGGGCAAGAAGCCAAAGGAGAACCTTGAGAGGACGCGAAGAGGATGAGGAAGGCGATGCCCGAGAGGGAGGAGATCCCGAATTCGAGCCAGAGGATGGCCGTCGAGATGATGGCCTGAATCGGTCCTATCCACAGGTAGTGGAGGTAGATGACCGATTGGTCGAATCTGTTGACGTCGTTGGACAGGAGGTTCACCATCTGACCCGAAGTCGTTCGACCCAACGCACATTTGCTCAGTCTCAACGCCTTAAGGAGAAATGGGAGTTTCGCATGAGTCGTTCGGGAAAGAGCAAAAAGAGAGTGGAAATGCAGACTTTTCTGTAGATGATGGATCCGCACGCGACTCTGATCTGCATTCCGTATCTTCCGATGTTGAAAAAGACAGCATGGTGCGTAAAGATGTACAGAAGAGAGCATAGTATGACGCCAGTGCCAAATAACCAGCCCCAATATGTCTCGTTTCCGTATTTCCAGTTCCCAGAGAAATATCGGATCAGCAATGCCATGAAAACCGGCTGAGCCACCCTGGAAATAAGTGGCGATTTCGAAAGTAGTGCGATAATCCTCCAATTGTAATTCTAGCGGTGATCGACTTCAATCTCTCAAGGTTTCCTCGCCCTTAACCGGCACCATTACAAACCCTTCATGGATTGAGTAGGGAGAATAGGGATGCGGCACGCAATCGCATCCGGTCACGTAATTGCCATTTGGGATGGATGAATGCGTTTAAAGTTTCTTCTGGACCTGGACATACCAGAGTTGCAACGAAGGTCGTTGTTTTCATTACCTCAGGACGCATTCTTCGAAGAAGACGATGATCCCAGCCGCGGCGTACTTCCCTCCGAATGTCCTGACGATGGCCTTCAGTAAACTCGGTCTTTTCATCTTCTGCCCTTCCTTCGTCGTCGTTTGTTCCGTGTCCAAGTGGCCGTCTGAGACGTTCGCCTTCCTCAATTCATGCTCCCATTGCCTATATTGCATTTCGGACTTCGTCAACAAATGTCCAATGCCATTTCCGGCAACTATTCTAGTTTGACCAAGGAACAGCTCTCAGTCGAGTTTAATGCCCGTTTCGAAGCACTTTAAAATTTTTAGGCTCACCTCTGAAGTTCATCTCCCAAATTATCCGACTCGTCTCCCTGCGGAACTCCGAACAGATCGCCCAGCTCCAAGTCCCTCCTCGACCCGAGCCACATGAGAGGGTTCAACCACCTGCGACGAAAAGGCGGGAATCGGAAGACTTGTCGGTGAGGGCGTGGTTCCATCAGGGACTATTTTTTATGATCTTTATGAATAATAATGTCGGAATAATAATGTCAGAAACGTCTCTCGAATGGTCCAGAAAACAACCCTCCATCGATGTTGCAAATCGTTACATATTCATTGCGTAAATAGTGCTTCAATAAAACGTAAGCGCATTTCATCAGTCACGTACACAGTGACACGATGTCCATTAATGTTAGTTATTCTTTGATGGGAACGCCTCGAAACGGTGTTACCCGTCAGCACTAAGCCAAAACCGCTTGATGGAGGAGAAAATCAGCGGTTAAGAACAAACAGGGAGCCGATGGAATGCTCCGACGATTTAAAATTTTTTTTTTTTCTACTGAGGAGTCTTTCTCAGCAATGTCGCAAAATTTTCGCAACGGGAATAGGGTTGCATGGCAAAGGCTCCCAAAAATTGGTATTATCTTTAAATATAATTTTCTGCCCCTCGGCGCCGGGAATGTCACAAAGAGGAGTGCGTCAATGTTGCCAGAACATTTTTTCATCGAGAAACAAGGAAAATATGACAAGATTACATGCATCAAATCACATAAATCATGAATAAATAATTCATTAAACGGTACGTAAAAAATAATTTCTTCAATATCTCCGTGCAGGGTGTAATATAAATTATCTCCCCGGACGAAAGAAGCCATCACAGCTGGACGAGGCGACAACACTGGCACGAACCTGCGCTAGGGAACTACCCGAGTAACACAAGATATTCCAGGAACATTTAGGAAATGTTAATGAAAAATGTTGCTTGTGTTGTAAATGTCCAAAATCTCAACGTTGCTCAAATGTTGCGAAGGAACATTGCATTTACGTTGCAAATCGTTACTTATTCATTACATATTCGTTGCAGAAATGTTTCAGGACTGATGTTGCTGCAATGTTGATTAAAACCTTTGCATCACGGGCATCTAATCTGGGCCTATATTGGCATTACGGAAAAGCATAGACTTCGCTGGTTCTGAAATGGACCGCTATTCGACCAATATTGAATTATTCATTTTTTCATTTCGTACCATATATTTGATACTTTACCTCCCTACCCAGACATTCCCATCAACAGGACGAAACCTGTAATGGTATAACCCCAACCCATGCAAAATACAGTATCTGTATCATGTACTGGCAGGAGACTGTACATTTTTGGCGGCGATCTTCCCCTGGATGTGCTAAAAATGACGCATTTACAGGAAAAGGCCTGAGAGTAATGTTCTATGGAGTGTCCACGAAATCAGCCCTTTCCCTCACCTAGTTATCAGGATGAGGATATGAAGGATTGAGGTCACAGACTCTCTATCGTCGTTATTATTGTCCTATAGGATGTAATGAGTTCTAGGAAAGGATTCTTTTTGGGAATATAAGCTTCTTTAACTTGACCCCATGAATCTGTCTCAAATACGAGGATAACAAGTGATGAAGGGTCAGTGTTCATTGATTCCTATAATGAGACAATGCGAGACATCTGGGAAAGTACTAAACATTCTCGTGCGAGACGATTCCAGGGAAAGGGAGATGGGCACTTTTATGTACTGTGAGAAAAGTGAGACCTTTGTCTCCATCTCGTGGCAAGGAGGACAACTTTACAATTCCCTAAAACCCAAAGTCAATGTTTTACAGTACTTATCTAATGAATTCACTCCCCTGCAGTGGGCGGTGGTGCTGCTGGCTGTGAGAAGAGAGGGTCATCTGTTTTTCATCCCATAAACAGCTAAACTATCCATATTTGCGATCCCAGCCAGTTACCCAACCATCATAGACAAAAATGATTCCTTGCAGGAGCTTCGCAAACTTGACATAATACAGCTGATCAGAACGGGCAGGATCCAACACTCCTTTAAAAAGTTCGAGTGAACTGAACCTTGAGGAATATCAGGGCACCTAAACAAAAACGATATCATCACCTTGTCATCGACGCAATCACGAAATCAGTCATATACATAACTCTGAAGCATTTTTATTTTGCCCTTATAATTTTATCATCCATAAAATGACACTTGGGAAAGATTCACATTTCTCAATATTCCGGAAATCCGAAATTTTGCTGACTTTCTGAATTATTCTCCCTAGCCTTGGTTCCCACGGAAGCTTTCCTTTCCTTTCCCTTCTAGGAAAACCTCAAATGGCAGGCAGTTTACGTTCGATGTACTTTCGACAAATAAGAAGAAATGGACTAGAATCCAGTCGATGCCTATGTTAATTAATAAAATTAATAAAATGTAGGAATGTAAGAAATTTGAGGATAAAATGTAGAAGAGAAGAAAAGTTGAAAATGCTTTTTATTGGACACAGTACTCAGAGCATAGTTGTATTTTCCCCCCTCTGAGTCAAAATAATGATTGCGGAATCCTTCGTTAGTCAATGGGTATCATTGATGTGATCGAAATGAATGAGAGAAAGAAGTTCACGGGACATGTCATCATATTCCTAAAAGTGCCTTTCATAAATTAATACGGTTTATTTCGTTGGAAGACTAAGCGAGATTTAAATGGGAAACTCAGAACGGATGAATATACTTTCCCCAACCGCTTAGAACGCAGGACATAGCGACGTGGGCGACATCTATCTTGATTAGTTGTTATTAGCTACTACAGTATCGGCAGATGCGTCATAGAAAAGCATAGCGAGTCATAGGAGCCCATAGTAAGAGGGGAGTGAATTCATTCGACAAGCACTGTATCAGAATTTTGTCGCTACACTCTTACCAATGTTACCCTGAAAGATACTCTGAATAGGAATAAGAAAACCACCGATTTGTTACCTCAAGATTAGAGTAACTTTAAGAGTAACAAGCAAGAGTCTCTAATGTTACCTCATTTTTTACTCCAAAAAGGAGCCTAAAACTTCAATTTGAAATGAGTTCTGAAGCCTCAGAGTGCCGCAGGCTTTTAAATGTGCGACCGAAAATTTTTCCTCTGAAAAATCGGCCGGTCAGGAGAGGAACATATGTAACAGGGAGAGGAGGGGATTAACTCCAGCCCGCAAGTAAAGCATCTCCAACGCGAACTGTCTGTGTCTGTGTCTGCTCGTTTTTATAGTTTTTCCCTACGATACCAAACGAGGGGAGCCTCATTCTAGATAGGCGCTCTCTCGCAGGGTCCAAACCTTCATTTTACATTACATGTGCAGACAGTTGAATGAAATGAGGGTGGTGCCCCCTATTGCCCCTTAGCAGACGTGGGTGCCGGTAAAGAAGAAAAGGAATTTGGGTCCAGAATTGTGGACTAATTACTGGTAAGGGTAAAATGGCAAAAGTTAAGTATGACACCTGGCGACTCATGACCGCACCCTGCAGCCCCTAGGTGGCGGATAGAGAGATGCTCATCCGCACGCCGGGCGAGCACCCCCTCCCCGAGGCCCAGCCAATCATCTTTTGCCGTGCTCCCTGCTCTGTGAGAATGTTACCACAGAAGCCTTGTTACCTCTATCGCTTTAGCCTCTCCATTTATCAGGGTAACCAATCCATTCCAAAGGGCGATATTCTTCAAGTTACTTCTAATAAAAGTGAAGTTACCTCTATAAACACATGTTACCCCAATCTTGAGGTAGCGTACGGTTAACATTGTTAAAAGTGTACGCTGTCGATGTCGAGAGTGTCTACTTTCTCACAATGTTGCTAGCAAATCTTGCAATGTCATTCGTAGAAGTGTCGCAGTAACATTCCAAGTGAAAACATTTCATCAATGGTGTACATCAACTTGCAACATAGAGCAACATAGGCAACATTTCGGAAACGTTTCATCAACATATGTGTTACTTGGGAGGACGTTGATGTTCTCAAAGATGTTCTTTGACGTTCAAGGTTCAGGTATGAGCAGCTTTTGGACGCTCAATTAAGGTGCCGTTTCATCACTAATACATCACGTTTTTGACGATCGTTCGTTGACATTTGTCATTTGACAGTAGCTAAAAAACAAAAGGTTCACACAATCGACGCTAGATGACGCCAGGGTATCCGCTATAAATACTCATTACCTTATAAAGATGGAATTATCTCTGATACTTTCCTCGAGATGCCTGATCTTTTTCCACACAGACACCACAGATGAAGACATTTGATTTCCTTAACAAATTGGGCTTAAGAGTCCCAGTCGAAGGAGTTGCCCGAAGGATGGAGGTAATATTGTTCAATTTTCAAGTTGACTTCAAGCGGGTAAGACACCTGAATGGATGATAATCAGAATCATCACTCCGCTATAGGGGGATATTAATGTGTATAATATTTAAATTCTATTGTAGAGGTAGAGAATTTACCTTTCTCTAATTCTTTCTCCACATGTATCTCCGACACAGAGAAGGAACTACGAACTGCTCGTCTATTATAGAGATGTATATCAGGTATATTTCTGCTCTTAAGAAAAGAGAGGATTCCAGCGAAAATCGTAATGAGGAAAGGAAATACTCTCCATTAGAATAATTGATTACGTGATTGCCTATGACCCCTGTCACAGGAGCAGATCTTTACTTGGGACGAATGCAACCCTTAAAAGCTGTTGGGGAATATTCAATTTACGTCCTGGATGAATGCATAATATTAAGCCATTAATTAATATATTTGAACTGTCTTTGAACGTTCTAAATTTCGGAAATTTAAACAGTCAATAGAACGTTTCAAAAGAGGTCCAATGCACGTTGGCAGTATCTTAAATGGGATCAGCATTCTGTACCTGATACACTTCGATTGACTACTAATACAACAAACAAGAAAGAATGAAACGAGATCGATTAGAAATTCTCACCAGACAAAGAGCGAGGAAATGCAACTGGCTCTGTCATGAGGATGCTTTTTCTTTTGTGGAGGCAGAAGAGGGGGGTAAGACTCGGGGCATTTATGGTGAAAGATGGGGAAGGTGAAGGCAGGCGATCGTGGGAGACCCAGGGAATGCAGCGCTTTCAACCACATGGTCAGATAATCGCGCTGCGATGGCACTACATCTCTTGATGCAGGGGCGAAACCCTTTATATGCTGGATGTCGAAGGACTGGGCGGG